AAAAAAAAAAAAAAAAAAAAAAAAAAAAAACAGGCCGAGTCGAGTCGAACCCGACTCGACTCGAAGTTAACCCTCTCCATCCATACATTAATATGCCACGTCAGTTTCATGTTTTAACTTATATATGCACGAGGACATATTGTGTATGCTGTTTAGAATTTCAATTTTGTAAGTAATATTTTTTTTTGGCAATAACTGTGTAGTATGACAGACGATATATCCAAGATTAATCTACAAACCATATATGTAGCTTGTATCATTTTCAAGCTTCTCGTTTTATGAATGATAATTATTGATAGCTTGATGTCAATTTAGAAATTTTTTGTAAATTGTTGCCTAATATTCTAAAATTTATTTGAAAAATGTTTAGTTTCTTTTATTTTTTTAGTTGTGTTTAAGTTAATTACAGGTACACTTTTTTTCTATTGGAGAAAGGTAGATAAATAAGTCATGATGATGTGCCTAATGTTAATAAAGTTTCTTACTCTTTCAAAATATTTTTATATTTAGAACAAAATCATTTTGCAACATATTATCTATTGAAAGCAGCAGTTTTTACAATGTGTCCTCAATTTAAAAAAAAAAATAATATTCAGTGGTACTAATTTTTATACAGGGTGTTCGTTATGAAACGCACTGTAGTAACATCGTTGCATTCCTTGTCAAATTCTAAAAAATACGTGTATTTTCATTTTTTATTTCATATACCAAAATTATGAGATAATCAAGATTGAAGTTGCAGTAATGCGACCAATCAGAACGCGTTTAAACGGAGCGTAGATGACGTCGCGAGCCAGCCCGTAAGACCTGCTTGCCCTAGGCCAATAACACTAAGAGTATCGTCGTAGTGTCCCTGTTTATCTGTATGTAATTGAGTAAGATACAAGAAACGATACTCTTACAAGGGAAGGTTCTCAGGTGTTCAGCGCCGGGAGGGTTAAAAATACTTGGAACAAGTTCTTTGGGGTACCCACAGCCAAGATTTACCCATCCTAACCCCTCGATCTTCGATATTTTTTAGTACCAGCCATGTAAAGTCTGGGATTTTTTTGATTTTTACGCCATTTTTCACACATTATACTGTTTAAAAATTTCATTTATCTACGTCGTAAATACTTACGTAGTATTGAATTAAATGACCATCCTTTATATTTTTGAGGTCCTTATACACGTTTCTGATGTTACTTTTTTATTATAACCTCATCTTCATGAAGAATTTATTGTCTTAATTGATCATCTTGTTAATTCTACGATAATATAGATAAATCTAATTTTAATAATATTTCTAACGAAAATCCTAAATGATTTTTTTCTTTTATATCTTTATTTATGTTTGGTACACAATAAGGAATAAAACTTATATGCATACCTATTTTATACAATATAAATGTATGTCTCTCCTTTAGCATTACCCAGAGACAACGGCGAGGTATTTTTTTAAATTTTTCTTTAATTTTCTTTTAATTTTTTGAAGTTATTAATAACGTGCAAAACTTCTTGTTCTTTTCTTTAGTCACCTTATTTAATATTAATCTTACTCTAACTTAAAAGTTGCAGAGTTCAATTACGATTTACTGT